TTTTTTTGTGATAAATCATTGAGTTTTATAATTAAAATAATTGGTTTTATTTTGATTAAAGTTATTTTTTCAATTCCGCAAAACAATTCAAATCAATCACACTTCGGGACTTTTGTAAAATTAAAATATATATTTTAGAATATTTTGAAATATTTTTATACTGATGATAAAATAATTTAGCCAGTTAATCTAGATAAAATCTGTGGCATAGCCAGCTAGGAATTTTAATCAGCTACCAACACTATTTTTAGTCAATAAAATTAATGTTGTATTGTAATCTTTGTTTAACACTCGATAACAAGTCGATTCAGCATAATTGATTTAAATAAAAGAATCAGTTGACATATTATCAAAGTTATAAAATTTTTCATCAATATCATCTTTGTATTTATAAACTTTACCACGTAAGAGGCATAAATATTAGTATGGCCAAGGTAATTTATTTAAAATTTGCTGATTTAAATTATTAATTTACCAAATTATTACAATTAATCTTATTAGATTCCGATTTATAACACTACCAGTGGTATCTGGTCTTCAATGGCATGCTTTCAATTATTATTTGCTTTAAATTCTTAGATATTTTTTGAAATGAATTATAAATTACTAGGTTACTGTTGGTAATGTGATAGGACCTAGGGCTTGTCATTCGGCAGTATTGAATCCGGATGGATATGTAGTTATATATGGTGGTGCTGAAAATAATAAGGTACCAGAACCATTGTTAGCTACGTTGGATACAAGTATAAATGGTCCAGTAAATCAAATATCGGTAATAGTCCGTCCGCCAGCGCATACATGCCATAGCTCATCAATATATATGATTACGGAATTTGGTAATTATAGTATTAATTTAATATTTTTATAATTTAAATAATGTGAATAATAACTTATATATTCTTGATACTCGAAGTTATACTTGGGCTACGTCTACTTCTGAAACAAGCTTTAATAGGCTGAGCACAGGATGGATCGTGTCAATCTCAATCATTGTCACTTTATTTGTTTCATGTTTTGTCAGATTTTGGTATTATAAACCAGCAATTATTGTCATAACTAAATAGCTGTCATGTTGAAATCAGGCCAGGTTATATCCGGGTTTTTGCGTTATATTGGAATAAAACTGGATTATATAGATATCGTAACGTCTACGTGATAACAAAGTAAAATAGATTTGGCGTCTGCGTTTTAGCATGACATAATAACAGTAATGGAGGCATCTTCGCGACAATATACAATAGAATTGACTTCGTAGTATCCAATCTTCTCACCAATCATTTTTAAATTATAAAGTTTTTATAACTAGTTCTATTCCTTTAGTATTTAAGTATCTCTTGAATATTCTTGGTAAAATTTAATCGTAAAAGTTCAAGCTTTTTTGTAATTTCTTGATATATATGATGTGAATGGAATTTAAAACAACATTTATTTATTTCTTCTTTCACTTCCTTGAATTATCTTCCACTTAATCAGAATCACCAGAATGCGATGACATTCCAAATTAAAGAGAAAGCTAAAAATTGAAAGCTCGTCATGGCTGTGTATTGACAATGAATGTTCTTCTTGGTTGTTGATGTATATATGACGATGAAACTTCGGTCATGATGATGGCGAAAGATAAAAAACGAAGTTCGCAGATTTTAATTAGTTATTCTATCCTTCGACATTCCATTAAACACATACCTATTTGCATACCCACGATACATTAAATTTACAATATGAAATCGATATCGGAAAAACGCACAACTAGAAGCTTTTAACGACCTTACAATCGATTCATTATTAATTCAGCCGGCATTAAGATAATCCCGGTACATAATTACATAATTCGGCCAGACTATGAAAAAATTTGCAGTTACCTAATGCCCATGTGATTATTTATAATAACACCCTCGTGCTCCGAACCCGTGTACATTATGTACATACATAGCAGATAGGTTGTAATGGGAATACGAATACGGAAAGAAAAAAATCCGGCCATGAATATAAAAGGCCGCATTTGAAACTATTTGGTATTTTTTTCGTTAGACATTTTTCTCCAAATACTATGCTTAAATTACTAGGACTATACATCAACGAAGAAATAATGATAAAAATATTAAGTTTATAAAAACATAATGATAACATATATATACAATATATTTACTACAGTCGTCCTCCCATACAATCACACAGTTGGGCACATAGTAAATTTTTTTAAAAATGTGCTTTTAAAGGGGTTGTGCTTATATGGAGGTTTTTTTCTTATCAATTAAAGCATAGTTTGGTCTAAATAAAAATGTGATTACATATGATGTGATTGTATGGGAGGTGACTATATGGAGGGCGACTGTATATAGTATATATATAATTGATAGATCTACAATGCTACAATGTAACCATACTAGCATATAAATCGTCACCAAGTTCTTTAGAAGGACGCTTTCGCCCGAGAGAAAAAAGACATTTTGTATTATTATTATTTTTTTTTTCGTTTTTAACAATGCCAAAAATTAAGAGTAATAAGTGGGATGTAAAAAGAACAGAATCACGACAAGGAGCAAAACATTATGCTAACTTTTTTTAGAAAATCTGACCCCTTAAAAGTCCCCTTCCCGGTTAAAAAAGTAGACTTACAAGAATATATCAAACATAATGTTAAAAAAGCTATAAAACCTGATTCTTTGAAACAATATTTAGGTCATATAAAAACTCATAATATTGCTATCGGTGGTGGTTGGAATTTTCTTGAATTCGAACCGATCATAGAAGAAGGTTTACGTAGACTAAATGAGGATAAAATTCTGACTTCGGGTATTATGTATTGAATTCTTTGACATGTTTTAATAAATATCTAGTAACCATATTTTCTGTCTTCTATTTGTTAGACGAAGCTCATGATGACGCAAATAACACTATAGATGAAACTTTGTCAGCTGATATTTCTTCGCAATCTAAAAAGTCTTCCTGTTGAGCCTCATACTGACACAAATGAACAATCTACCGGCTATGATTTGAGTACCAATTCTCTCTCACAACTTGAGCAATATCTTTCTCTTTATGAATCTGTGGCTTCTACCCCTTATGATTTACAGCAAGATCCTTTACAAGCATGGTTGGATCTTGATCAGCTTGCTCACTTTCAAGAGGACCAAGCTTTTTACAATAATGCAATTTTAACACAACCAATGAATCTCCAATCTGGTACTGCCATTCATTTAATATATTAGTCTTTTGATTAAGATTTTACAAATAAAACTTTTAATTAATTATTAAAATCTTTAACAATATCTAATAATTAGAGCATTTCTCTGACGATATCCAGGACTCAGAATTAGAACTAGAAAATATAATCCAAGTATTTCAAAGGTTTAATAGCCGCGTCCAGGAATTCCAGAAATTAGAAATTCAAAAATTAAAAATCCGTATTCAAGAATTCCAAGAATTGGAAATCAAAGAATTGAAAATTCGTTTCCAAGAGCTGGAAAATAAATTCGGATGCGCAACGTACAGCCCAAAATAAGACGTGCGAATTATTTATTAAGTTATTATCTCGTGAACATAGTTCTTAATACTGCACTGTTTCTGCATATAGATTGAGAATAAGATGGAATCTAGAAAATTAGATGGAGAAAAGGGACAGACTGAAGGATTTTTGGTATCAATTTATTTCTCGTCAGAAAATTGAGTTAATTTAAATTATTTTTCTAAATTAGTTTGGTCCATCTTAAGGCATAAAAACATAGATTTCATCTCATAAATGATTACTTTTTCTTTAACCTTTATTATATTATTCCAAATTTTAATACTAAATAAATTTAAGAGATGGGCGTTAACATATTATTCAACTGAGTGACAGGATAATCGAACTATAGTTAGATATCCAAACATGCGCTCCTCCTAGGACCGACCATAAGCGCGCACGATTAGTTTTGTAAGTCCGATCTGAGGTATAGATTGGATTACAAGTGTGCGCTTATAGAGCTCATAGACAGAAGTTCGTCTGATTGGCTAATAAATTCAATTTAATTTTACATTATTTATACAGTTTAGAGTACTTTTTAAAAAACGAAAACCAACCATAATAAAGTAAAAAAAAAAACATATGGAAGGTTTCATTAGAGTTGTAGGACTCCATAGTCAAAAATAAGATCTAATTCTCGTCCGTTTAAAAAAATTAGCTTAGTAATAAGTTGATTTTATCAGGTTTTGAGAAGTTATTACTATACTAACTTTTTCAAACGGACGAGAATTAGATCTTATTTTTGGCTATAGTGTTCTACAGCTCTAATAAAACCTTCTACATGTTTTTTTTACTTTATTATGGCTGGTTTTTTTTTTTAAAAAAGTACTCTAAACTGTATAAATAATGTAAAATTAAATTGAATTTATTAGCCAATCAGACAAACTTCTGCCTATGATTATAGAGCGGCATATGTGGAGGTTTAACCGTATTAATAATTGTAATCAGTAAGCATGACATTCTTCCGTATATGTTGTTATGTCACTAGCGCTAGAAATTCGCCAATTTGCATAATTTGATTCGTCGTACGAATCGAATGTGTAAAAGTAATCTGGTTAAGGTTCCGATTATAATTATTAGATTCTGAGAATTAATAGGGATATTAAACAATCCCGCAGTAACTTTGATCAATGTTTTATAAAAGATGACATTTTTACCTAGCCTTCAGCTAATAAATAAAGTTATAAAAAATCATTTTTCTATAACCATTTCGAATAAAGTTACGATTTTTGTTATAAAGAATTTTTTTATTTTACAACTCTATTGACCAAATATCGGTTAAAAATGCTTTCTCAAATCCGATTCAAATTCTGCGGACGGATTAACACCCATTAGTTAAATTTATAAGGCAAAGTGGGTACCATTGCTGAGTGAATTAAATAATATTGAATACGGTTTATACTCATCCACCATTTTACCCACCCACCATGATCGAATTTGTCGCTGAAATCAGTTTTTGATGTATGAAGTCTATTACAAAGACCCACTTTTTTGCAAAATTTCTGAATTGCTATGATTCAAAAAGGACTGATTATATAATAAAAAGACCATTTAAATACAATTCACTTGGAAGTATTTATATGCAAAAAAGGCCTTATAATACGAGGCATTCTATATTATGGCCAGTTTTTAAAAACAATTTTATTGTTTAATATTCATATATATAGTGGTTCAACGATTAAGTTGGGGCTTTGCATCAATCAATTGTTAAGGTAAAACATTGCAAAATGCCTTCACAATTATTCTCACACAATAATTATGCTATCTAAATGAACCGATTTTAGAGATATTATCAGCTCACTCCGGTTGTATTAAATCGATTAATAATAACGTAAACGAGCTGATGACATCTCAATCGATTTTGGTACCATTTAATTCTTTTGAGAGTAAAAATTTTATTTTTATTAAAATTAGGAATAAATATATTTTGTCTTATTCGAGAATTTTGAAATAATATAAATGAGTTGTGCTTTGTAAAGCAGTTCTTCTATGAGTACTTAACATTAAAAGAAATCCGAATCAAAAAGGTTTGCCAATGATTTATGATTATATTCGTTACTTAAAATTCATATCCTTTTTATTCATGGTGAACGGATATACTCTGATGACAAATAAAATTCACGCACATATGTTTATGCTGCTATTAAATTCAAAGTTTATTAACCGTTTTAATAAAAGGCTTTTTATATATTTGAGGTATAAAAAAGAAGTTTCTAACTTGCTACAAATTTCTTTTATTGTTGTACTGACTACGTACAACTCGGTTGAATCTGAATTAATATTGTTGTACCAACTAGTACAACTCAGTTGAATTTTTATCATAGCGGAAATATGTAAGTATAACAATAAAGTTTTGCTATCTGAAATTTGAACACAAAATACAGATGTTTTTTATTTTACTTAAGTGGCGCTATATTGTCAGATGTGCTTACCAAAATTAATCGGTTATTATATACAGTATATCGATATATTTTTTGTAGATCGTCAAAATCGTACCAATTTAAGTAATTGCTAATTTTGGATTGAACGCAATTTCCCATTTATCCGATCAAATTTTGGAATAAAGTATCTATATAAACGCATACTTTTTCACGATTCTGAGTTATGATTATTCAACATGACTAAAAGAAAGGTTTATAAGAAACATTTTAATTACAACATTGATTACTCTGTTATAACCGCTTTACATAGTAGCAAACTCAGGAGACTTAGAAACTCATTTATTATATACAGAACTGTTATTTACTACTACCTTAAAGTCAATAATTTCACTTATTCTTGCTCTGCTGTCTCTAAGTTGGCAAGCAAGTTGTGGAAAAACGAGTCAAAAAACATTAAAAATGTATATAAGCAATTGGCCAATGAAGCCAAAAGAAGTTCCAAGGAGACCGGAATTGTGAATTGCACGGAATCGCAATCCAGAATTAGCAATACAATTATCAACTCACCACAAGATATTGCCACAATTGTCAATGATAACACCTTTAGCGAAGGTTCACGAAATTCATATACCGACTTATTGGCTAATCATTATAATCAGATTCAAAAATTAGAAAGGAAACTATCTGATACACTTAAGATAATAGCGTTAATGAATAAATTAATTATTGAAGCATAGTGTGATAAATACTCTATTTTAATTTTATTTCAGTGATTCAACATATATTTAAGCATATGCTCTTAGTAATATTGTTAAATCGATATTAAATCAATATTCTTGATATATTAACTTTATTAATAAAGTAGATATTTGTATTATTAAAATAGGATCATATAAATAAACTTTATTACTTTATTTAAAAGAATGCTTTAGGTTGTACATTAAAATTTTTTACTAGATTTAATGTCAAAGAATATCATGGATTGCACATTACACGAAACAATCACGATCCGGTGGTGTGTATTAATCAATCAAAATTTCTTATTTAGCACGTGTTAATTGAAAAATTCTTAAAAATCCATTATGTTACGATTTTGGCTAAATACTAATAACGTATATAGTAAAACCACTTAAGGAAAACCTTTTGTTAAATTACTAAAGTCGTTTATTATACAAATTTTTTTGGAAGGTTGGTTTGGATTCTCGTAGTATTCCGTATGGATGGACCCCAGCTCAGAGTGCAAAATAAGATGCAAAATTTCAATCAGCATGTCATCGGTTAACTTTTAGCAATATATGCATACATTATTGGGCAAAAATTTGGGAATAACGGTAATTTTGCCCGTTTTGAGCCAAATTACCGTTATTCCCAAATTTTTGCCCAATAATGGTGTTATCCGACAATTTATGATCATGGCCAAGTCTCCATTGGCTAACTGAGTTTTAATTCGAATAAACCTAATTACATCGTAGAACACAAAAAAAAATAACAGTCAGAAGTAATTGGATATTTTATTTAAAAACAGATATATTTGAAAGTAATATAAACTTATTTATTCTAGAAGATATATATATATATATTTATTATAATTATAAAAAAAAAAATTAATTATAATAAAGAAAAATTTTGATAAAAAAAATGAAAATAATATATTCTTGTTTTTTTATTTTTATTTAATTATTTCTTTATTTAACATTTGGATGATTTATGGATTATTTGGTTCAATATATTTTTTTGTTTTTACCTTTTTTACCTTTTAAAAATACAATTGTTAGACAAATTGTACGACAAGCTTTTTCATTTATTTTTGGTATAATCGAACTTATAATTTGAATAATAGTACTTATAATTATTGGCTATTTGATTTTAGTTTGTTTTAAGTTTAAATTCAATTATTTATCTCTATGATTATTGCTAGTTTAACTTTTGTTTTTACGGTATACCTTAGTTCATCATTTAATAATTTTCAAATAACTTCATATTTCATATATTTAGGTGTTATGGTTCAATTTATTATTTCTTGAGACCTTACGCATTATTTATTACCCTTTCTTTGTAATTATAGTTTGTTGATATATGGACATCATTTTCTTAAAATTACTTCAATATATGATTTATTTGAGCTACATAATATTTATTTATTATTGTTGTTAATAATTTCTTTATTTTCACAATTGATCAATAATTTATTAGTAACTGGTTCAGTAATTTTTTTCATATCTATCAGAATATTCTAGTTTTTTTAACTATTTTATTATTGTTTTCGTGTCTCGCTGTTTTTCAAGATATGAATCAAAAATGTTAATAAAATATATAGATTCGCATTATGATAATGAACCAATTTATTTTTATTTTGAATCACGAGATTCAAAAGATAATCATATTTTTTTGATAAATATTCTTTTAATTTTATCTTAATGAGAGAAACTAAAAGAAAACGAAATTTAAATTTTATTATTTGAACCCAGTTTATTTTTCGACGGCCTTTAGTTGCCGTCAGAGAAATGAATTAAAACTTATATAAAAGGTAGTTTCATAGGGTTTATGAATTTGGGCTAAATTAAGGCTTAATTTAGGTAGAACTCAATAACTGAGGCATGATTTAATAGATATGAAAATTACATGAATTAATTCTACCCACACTAAGTTTACTGATTAAATACAAATTTACCATCAAAAAATCACAATGCGTTAGGGTAAATTATGTGATGGGATCGAGGTCAATTATGCGATGGATGTGAATTATGTAATTATATATAAATTATGTAATTTAATAGCTCTCAGAATCTTTTGTTCATTCGCTATCTATCTTCGTCGAAGCATGCATCTATTGAATCGCTCTAGAACCTAAGATATTATCTATTCTAACTACATCAATATCTTATAAATAAATTTACTCTGTGGTATTAATTCAAATACTCACGTGTTTAATATTAGGGAGCTAACATTTATTACGTAAATAAAACCTACTCAGGTCAGTCATTTGACACAATTACAAGTTCTAAATTAATAATAATATAAACTTTATATGATTGGTTATTTTAGAGCTTGCAATTGTCAAATGATTGATTATTTTAGAACTTGTACATAATTGTCAAACGATTTATTATTTTGGAACTTGTAATCGTGTCAAATGACTGACTCTAAGGGGGTTATATTTATGTTAGCTCCCATTATTTTCAGGAAAAGTTTTGCTCTCATAACAAATTTTTTCACCAATTTTTTTTCTCTAGATTAATATTTGGCATATAAGTTTTTGTTATATATAACATGGTGTTTGAGGACTTTATATCGATATATGATAAGTTTGAAAGTAATTTTTTAAACCAAGCAAATTTTTTAAAATAAAAGGCTTAAAAAAAAATGGTACAAAATTTTGTATCTAACTTTTAAACGAAGATTTCTCAACAACCCATCCAAGTTTGATAAAATTTTTTTTATTTTAAATCTACAAAATTAATTAAATAAAAAAAATTTCATCGAATTTGGATTGTTAGTCGTTGAGAAATCTTTATTTAAAGTTTAAACATCGATATTTCTAGTTTTTTTTTTTTTTTTTAATTCTAGTGAAGGTTTCTAGATAACTACTAAACAGATTTCAATAATTTTTTTTTTTTGACTATAACTTGGTCAATATTAGGTCTATAGCTTGTATTTATAGCTTGTTATAACTGAAGCAATGAGCTCTATAACTTTTCTTAAGGATCCAAGGCTAATTGTAAAGATAGTTTCAAAAAAATTATTAAAAGGTTGATTTTTTAGTCCAAGAACCATTTTTGTAGGTTTAAACCACAACTTTTAAGATAAAAACTTAAAATTTTTAAAATTTATGTAAAATTATAAGCTGAGTAAGTTTACTTAAGATGCCAAGGTCGATTACCTTAGTAAATTATTAAGTTAGTCAAGTAAAGAGCTTTTTATTATCGATGAAATCAATTGTATGAATACAGTAAAATATTATTTTGCTAACTAAAAACCGTTTATTTAATTTATTTTGATTCCTAATAGCATGAGTGCATTGTATAGGCAAAAGCAAACTCTTGAAAAAATATATGCGACTGAGTTATAAGCAATTCACTGGTACGTTCAGAATTAACCATTCTTTGCTGTTCTCGTTTATAATTATGTATTTTGTTTCATTCCTACGACTATTATTTTTTTTTTACAATTAACAGTTTTCATATTCGCTTTTTTTGTAAATATATATTGTTTTTTTTTTTTTTTTTTTTTTGGTGTTTTTTATTCTTTTTGTCCTCTTTATCATAATTCCTTCTGATTTTTCATTTTTTTAAATGTTTTTCTACTGGGTTGGTGAGAATACAACTCAATAAAAATAAATAAAAAATAAAACTTTTATAAAAGTATAAAATTATACGTAGTTTCGAACATAATAATGGATAACTATTAATGCTGGCAAAACTTTGTAATTCGTAACTCTGGTAAGCATAATGTCGGTAGAATTAATTCGTAACTCCGGTAAACATGATGTTGATAGAATTAGTTCGTAACTCTGGTAAACATAATGTTAGTAAAATTAATTCGTAACTCTGATAAACATAAAGTTGATAGAATTTAATTTGGGTTTTTAAAACTTACCTGACACAACATACTTTACATGGTAAGTTACGATAAGTTGCGCTGTATCTTACATGGCCCCTATGTAAATTACTAAAGCTGGCTAAATTATGCTTAATAAGTATTACACAATTTCTTTTACTAAAAAAAATTACGTGATAATAGCAGGCAAAAGTGTTATTAAGCTATAGCCTCTCTCTAGGTTATTTTGAGCTTATATAACTTACAAAATAATTTACATATGTAAGTTACGCAAAATTTACATCAAGTAAATTACATGTAACTTACATTAAATTTAACAACCCTAAATTTAATTCATAACTCTGGTAAACATAAATTTGATAGAATTTAATTCATAACTGGTAAACATAATGTCTAGTAGAAAACTCTGGTAAACATAATTAATTCGTAACTCAAGTAAACATGATTTTGGTAGAATCAGTAAACATAATTTTGGTAGAATTAATATTAAACAAATTTACTCTATAAATTTATCATGTTGAAATTTATAAAACTTTATAAAAATGACATCTGTCTATTCTTCGTCTTCATTATCTAAATTGTCTATATCTCCATTCTCATTGATTAAATAATCTTTATAAAGGGATATATACCTCTCACGTGTCTTTTTTAGTACTTCTAAATAGCTCGTATTAAGATAATGATTCATTAATAAATCTTCTAGCATAACAATCCGATCTGCCATCACATTTATCCTATCTTCAATAGAAGAACCAACGAGTGATTCATGCAGGCCATTAACGAACAAAGTTTTGCCATCTTTGTAAATATACTTTCTTGCTAAATGTCTTTTGTAATTACGACGAAGTTTCCACCAACACGGACAGGTTTGACAATAACCCCTTTTATACAAAAAAAAATGAAATAATAAAGTTATGATAATGTTTTTAAATTATAACTATTTGAATAATAATATATTTACCAAGGAGAAAGTTTTGGTGATCCGAATAAAAAAATATATACAGTTGTTGTAAATGTATAAAAGCCTCCAATATTTGTGATAAATGTAATAACTAATATTTAAAAATTGATTAGATAATATAACTGGTCAGCTGGTCAACAACTAGAAAAATTATAAAACTCAACTATTGCTTTGATATTCTTCATAATATATAATGTGATCTTTCGGCTTCATTAATATGATAGTATGCGGTGAATTTAAAAGTGGTGACATTTCCTTAATTTCAACATCAACGTAAGCTTCTGTTTCATGAGCATCTATACTAAACAGTCTTGAAGTATAAATATTTTTAAGCCTTATAGAAAATTCAATTAAAACCAAGTGGCCACTAGGTATTGGATTCACGTTTTGTTTTGACCAAGCAGGGATGTTGCTACCTTGGAAGTTTAATGATGTAAAATTAATAACGAGATAGTTTATGAGAGAATTATTGATATCAGATAATGTAAGGTTTGATGTTATATTAAAAATAATATGATCATATTGATATAACGAATTATATATATAGATGCTGTCTGAATCATGATTTCTACTAGTCGCATTATCTTTATGGTTGTTTGATATAGTCCACCACCACTTCGTATCATCTTCATCATACCTATAAAGAAATCTAGGGCATTTGCTACGGCTATAATTCAAGTTCATAATACATGATATGTTTGTAATATTAATATTATAAGATGTGAATTTCTGATTAAGATCTGTTAATTGCCTAAAATCGAGAGCTATAGGTTTTAAACATTATATATTTAAACTTAAATAATGTTAAGCAATTTATTTATATCTTATTTATATCTTTTCTCACCTTCATGTTGTATTAAAAAATCTAATATAATTATAATTAAAAATTATTGATTTTGCATGTTTATAACGAAAGTGTAAAAAACAGATCTTACTTGGAAACACCATGTCAGTTTCTTGAAAAGTTATAGTCCAAACTGGTTGCCTTATGTACGAGTAAAAAGAAATAATACTATAAATTAATAAAAAAAGCCACAAAAAAAAATAATTTAGCTTTTTTAATAAACCAAAAAAATAGGGTTTTGCTAACTGATCGAAATTCATTAATTCTAAGAAAAAAAATTAGCGAGCCTAAATATTGAATAATACCGTTTCACTTGATACCATTTTCATTATATTTACAATTATAACTGATTTACTATTTATGCAAGCAATTTGTTGATATCTGTGTCATGTAACATGTTTTTCTGGAATAGGTTTATGTTCTAAAAATAAATGAGCAACACAAGAATTTCTTATAGATAAAAATTAGTAATATAATGTAAAACATTTCAAGTCACAATGTACCTTTTAAAAAATACCCTCACTTTGTTTCAGTGCTATTTCTCTTCACTTCACATTTCAGAAAAAATAATAATCCTGGCATTATTTACACACTGTGTTGAGACATGCATAATTATAATAACAATTGGACTTAAGCCTTCTCTGGACCTTAATATAAACTTTCTATACTTATTACTATCGTCATTTCAATATTTGATTTCTTTATGTGTCACTGTATGTCTGAATTTTAAATTGATTCCACTTTCTTACTATCTGTTATATTAATTTTATATTTAATATAATATACAGACAATTAAAAGAACACTTTTGCACACAATTATTTTTCTGTTATTGAATTGGTGTATAAAAATCAACATACTAAATTTCAAATGGTGCAACTATACCTCAAATTTATTATATTTATGCAATGGAGCTTGGATTAACATTGATAATTTTTGTTATGGTTATATTTATATTTTGTAAACGGTAATTAATATATTTTATATTTGTTTGATCAAATTCAAAGTTATCAAATTAATTTTTAAAGTTTAATATTTTTCAGACTGATTAAAAAAGAATTTAATCTTGAAATTGTTACGATAACAATTCAAACTAGCAAACCTAATATTTTGAGTAAGTTTATAAATATATAATTAAATTTAGAGATCAAATGTAGTATAGAACACATTCAAAATTGATTGATAGCAAATTACTATAGAATTTTACGTGTATAACTTAGTACGTATTACAAGCATGTTGGACTATATATAAAATAAAATCAAAAAGCAACAGTTTTAAAATCTCAGATTATAACAATTTTAATGAACTTTTTAATTTTTTTTGTTAAATATGGATTAGAAATATCTCAGCTATTTTTCTATTTTGTTTTCTAACTTTAACTCTCCCAACATAATGTGTCATTAAATTTTGAATTTTATGGCTAAAATTATACTTATAAAATTCTTTCATTTTATATTTCTAATAGAACTGTATAAAAATTACAAATATCAACAAATTTTAGCTCATTCACAAATTCTTCATTTGAATTGTCTTGGAAACTTTTGGTTATTTAATTATTTTTCAGCATACAAGCAAGACAGAATTACTTTGGTACAGACTATAAAATTAATTCCATGGTATTTAGCACTGCCACCATTTATTGCTTTTACAATAATCAAAGAAGTGAGTAATAATAATTATTGTAACTTTTACATAAATAATCTTTTTTTGATTATTAACCTATGTTTATAAAATTATCAAAAGGTTAAAACAGAGTCAAAATATATAATGATAAAATTTTATTTAAGTAGCTTATTATTATGCGGATATTATGTTTATCATTACTTGTTTAATGAACTTAATATAGTCTCTTTTAGTAATAATTTCGATATTTTTAAAATTTTTGATTTAATATTAATTAGTATTTTACATTGCACATTATTAGTTTCAATAATGAATTCTATTATTTGTCAAAGAATTTTGGAAAAAATTTAAAAGCTTATTGTAAGTATTGTTTGCAATATGCTACTGTAATTATTTTTCTAAACTAATATTGATTTATATTTTTAATTCTAGTAATCAGTCAGTCATGGTCAGAGATTTTAAAAGATTATAAATATAATTTTTGATTTAGAACAAGCATATCATCATGAAAATTTTTCAAAACTCAGTTCGTTCTCCGACAGCCCCTACTTGCCGTAGGAGAATGAGCTGAGTTCGAAATTAGTGGACCAAATTATATTTTTAATTGGCGTACAAATTAATTTAAAATTTAATGTATGATATATATATATTATATATAATCTTCTACTTAATTTTAATATATTATATTTATATATTCTCAGCGAGAACCAAAATTCATATTGAAACTATAATTTCAACAAACTTTTCAATTTTGGCAAATAATTGTAAGATGAATATATTACGCGTGTGATGATCTATTTTTGCTTTAGAATTGCGTGAAATTTTTTAATTCGTTTGTTTCTGAGTTAAAAAAAAACTTCTAAAAAAGTTTCGAACTACTACAAGGATTTGTCAACAAACTCCTTAATTTCAATAGTGCCGCGTGAAATTTTACTTCGTTAAGGCATTGCACAAACTTCAATGGATGAACAACATAAGGAGTCAGTTAATAGACTTGATAATTTGACGGAATCGCGTGTAAGATAAACTTTTCAGGTTTCAGTTCAATTAGTTTTACATAATATCTAATACTGATTAATGTGTATGAGATGGCTTTACACGTGTGCAATGATCTATTTCAATAATGTCGCATAAAGTTTTACTTTGTCAAGATAATTACACAAATTCAAAGAGGAATTAAGGGGTCAGTCAATAGATTCTAAAGATAAATTTTTCATTCGTGTTCAATTAAAATATTATTATAAGCTAATCACAATCATAGAGAAAACCTACTGCCGAGACCAGTCAATAAACTTTTTAATTTGTGATATTTTACTTCGCAAAGGTAATGCATAAACTTCAATAGATGAACTGCACGACAGTCAGTCAATAGTTTTGACGGAATCTCATGTAAAATAAACTTTTCAGGCTTCAGAATCGCATGTTTCAATTGTTCGCACAATGCTCTAAAAAAAAGATCGAAAATTCGAACTGTCAATAGGTGTCATGACAATTACCTAAGAAATTATCTCTTTAGAATTATGCAATATCGATATTAAATAAATTTTTATACAATATGAACCAGTTTTTAAGCTGCTCTTATTGTAATTCCGACATTATAAAAATTTCTAATTTTAAGTTTAAATTATGTAATATAAGCTATAACGATAATGATAGAAATTACATGATTTTCATAAAATTTACTTTATCAATACATATATATAAACCGGGTTTTAAAAGAATAACATGCTCAATTGTACGTACTTGACTTATTATTAATCAGTAACATACTATATATTTTAGTATTAAAACTAAAAAGCCTGTTTTAATACAAACCTGACATTAATATAAAAGTACTCTAATTAAAGTTTAGTTAATTTTACATGTTCAACGCGTTTTAATGTAGTTTACATATTCTTTATTAGTAGAATATATAAAACATTACGTCCTCAAAAAGTACTTTAAACTATATAAATTAGTTACATAAACAATCATAGAACTTTTTGATAAAATACGTATTATGCTATGAAAAGGGTTTGATGTGTTAAAAATGAGAAAAAAGCTTTAGAACATAAGAAGACCGCTGCAAGGCTAGCAACATTGCTGCTAAAAAATGAACTGAAAAAATGAATATAAGATGAGATTAACAAAGATATGACCCAAGGGAACATGAAAATAATGATTATTCAAACTATTAATTATACTTTCGTAATCTTATATCGATATGGACTGTGAATTAAATTCTATTTATGATAAAATTAAGATAATTAAAGTTTGAGTTGATTTCCGATATAATGAAAAAATTCCAAATATATAAAAACCATTAGCTAGTTACTATTATATAATATCTAATCTTTTTTGACATTGTTTATTAGCAATTCTCTTTATTTATTTTTTTAGTTTTCAATGGTATCCATACTAGTTAGTACAAATTTTCGTTTACTGCATTTTCTTTTTCGACAATTTTATTTTTTTGTTGAATCATTATTTCGATAACACAATTGTTCAGGTATCATAGAAGCTAATCTATTTCTCCAAATATTATTTCTTGCAACCTTTTTTTTTATGCGTATATATATTCTTTTACGTTTTTCCATTTACTCGATTCAATAAATTACTAAGCGATGTATTCATTCAATGCAATAAATTACTAACGAATTTCTGATTAATTAAATTTCTACATGGGATATTAAAATCGATATTTATCATAATTACAGGGTGGAAGTATGACATCGACCAAATTTAGAAGAGTAAGGAATCCTCTTCAGCCCAATAACTATTTTCCTTTCTTTCATTCTTTAATTTTTTTTTATACAGGTTCTCATTTTCACTTTCTAATTCTTCTTCAATTTCTTTTTATTGCTTCTTCGACAATAGACGGATCATTGTGTGACCAATCCTTATTGAATCTCCACACTTTAACACTTTTGATCATTTTGTTCGCCACCTCCGCTTCAAAAATAAACCGATCATACGAAGCCTTTGACCCAACCATAGTATTTTCACCGTGATTAATGCCCCATACTAACTTATTTTGTTGCAATAATCTGTCAACTTCTGTACATTCATCTTCCCTAAGATAGGTTCCTGATGCATTAAAATCTCCCATCATAATTATAGGTTCATCGAAAACTTTTTTTCTGGATTATTTCCTCTCGGAAACAAATTTAGAGAAATTGAAATCGTACATATTAAGATTATCAAATGCATACATTAAATCATCCATAGAAAATAGTTCTTTACTCTTAGTTCGTTCATTTGCCAATTTCATCACCTCATCTTTTACAAAAGGATAGACATCAGTTACCAATGCTCGTACTTCATCATACGCGTTTTTGGGTTTTGTATGACACCCAACAAGAGTAATCCTCACTTCAGAACGTCTTCGATGCTGAAAATGAGCAACATAAGGATTCCTCATAAATTTGACACCCAAATTTTCCTCATTAATTATGTAAGCTTTGTCCAATCGCCAAACTTTCTCCTTATAAATGTATAAATACCTTTCATTATATGTACCCCTACCAAACAGGTTGGGATAAAGTGTATGTGCATGGCGTAGAGGAAGTTGAAATCGATTCGACTAGTTCTTTAATAAATTCAACTTTATTCTTGAGAATCTCAAGAATAATATACAATAAAAAAATTGAATATCATTTCAATTCTAATTGATTTTATTTATGAATATTAAAAAATGAAAAATCAAATTTATTTACTAATTCAAAATTATACTTGACACAATTACGTGAAAAATTTTTAATAAATAAAGAGGCGAAGGTTTCAGATTGTTATTCGTCTAATAATTTGAAAAGGTATAAATAATAAAACTACTTCAACTGCGGACTGCCCCTTAATTATTATTTCTCAAGAATAATACATTAAACAAAATTAATCCTCATTTCAATTTTTTGATTTTTATTAAATAAACAATAATACGTACAATACAAAATTTGGTTTGGTTTGTAATTATAAATGTAAAAAATATTTTTGCACAAAAATTTGCAATTTTTAATTTCTCGGTATTTTGTTATTACTGTTATGAAGTAAAAAATTTTACTACTTTGCTTAAATCTATTTAAATTTTCTTATATACTTACTCAATTTGAAACTTCTAGAACTATTTTTATTTTATACATACTATTGGCCAACGTTATTCATATGACCAAAATTACATTTAGATTTCAGTAATAGTAGTTTGCCAACCCTAATTTTAAGCAAATTAAGTATAATTTTGGAGATAATAAACATAAATTCAGCCAAATTAAAATATATTGTTAAATAGAATTTCAAGCAAAATTAAGTATGATTCTGGCAAAACAATTCCAAGCTATGTATAAGGAATAAATTTCAAAATTAAGTATAATTTCAAGAAATAATTTCAAGCAAAAATTAGTATAATCCTAGACAAAAGTAAAATACAAGATAACTGGCAAAAAATAGTGCTCTTGTATAAAAATTTTTGATAAAAAAGTCTTTCACTAACAAAATCGTATATAGTTGGGCGTATTTGAAGAATAACAAAAAAGTTTTTTACTACACTGCAAGCAAAATTAAGTTGCTTCGAATTATAGAGTTTTATTTTATCACAGAAATTAATCAATAATTGTGGGGGATTATGGTGAAAATGGATTATACTGAAAATTAGGGGTCTCGATTTAAAAATAGCATCACATGGTTTCGTCTAACACCTATAATGGGAACTACAAAAAAGAAAAAATTTATAAGTTCATCATAATCGTCAATATATCGCATTCACCACAGGCTTCCGCGCAAGGCTAGATCGAGCTTTTTGGATTAAACAGAACGGAGAAGGACGTTCAAATGTATCACATTCACAAAAGAATTTTAATTCAATTGATTCAAAAGTGTGCATTTGGTTTTGGTTCAAGTGTTTAATTTAACATGGTTTGCATTGTATTACCATTGAAACTTTATATCTTTTAATTAAAAAGTAAAACAATGCAAGCATATAAAAGTAAAGGATTTCTTCTAACATTGAACTCTCTTATATACTTAAAATAATTTACAATGTCCAAAAATAAAAAATAAAAGTGATGATTTCTATTCATCAATAATAAATTTATTGAAGAAAATAATTTTGATGTATCAAACTTGAAATATCGTAATACATCATTATAATTATTTCAAAGTTTATGATCAAAATCAGCCAAATAGTTTAAAAAAACATACTAAGAGACCGCCAATGACATCCTAAGACAACTGTGCCATTCGGTTAAAAAAAAAACTATAATTTTGCTCCTAACATCTATATTCTTAAAATTTTAGAAGTTAAGTTATGAAAATGTCAACTATATGAAAATCATAGGAATCATAAAAATCATAAAATTGAAAAATTTTTGCCTAATTTTAAAATCTCCTAATTAATAATACATTTATAATAAATATTTCTATTTAAATTATCTTCAGGTTTTACGCAACTTTGATAAATGTTAATCAACTCAATTAAACTTATAAGAACTGATTTTGTATCTGGACGTTTGGTAGGGTTATCATCCCAGCATTGTTTATAAAGTTTAATATATAGTTGTGGTGTATCTTTCACTTCTCTTTCTCTTTCCCCATGAATTATTTTGAAAGTAATTCCAAGTGGTTCAATCAATGGAAATGGTCTTCGTCCGCTAGAAATCTCCCAAAGAATTACTCCAAAACTGTAGATATCAGACTTTTTATCACGTTGATATTTTGGATCTTTAATCGACTGAGGTTCAATATATGCTGGCATTCCATAAACGATTGAATTTGATAATGATTTCTCAAATGTTTCTTTAGATAGACCGAAATCTGCGATCATTATCGCTTCTTTGTGAACTAGTATATTTCTGGGATGCTGAAAAAGACTAAATTATTAAAAGTAGCTACCCAATAAATCTATAATTTATAAAATTTACCAGATCACGGTGAATGATGCCATTACTATGCAAGAAATCAAGTCCTTGTGCTATTTCTTTGGCAATATGCAATTTCTTGATCCAATCTAATTTGCCAAAGTTTTTTCTAAATATTCACGTAAATTTCCATCTTCGGCATATTGTAAAACGATGCTAAAATATCCATTGAATGGATCTATTTTTTTTTAAATAAGGATATTCGTTGTTAACTATTTTGTTAGTAAAAATTAGATAAAAATTGCACGACTTATATCGAAAGTAAAATCATAAACCTTCAGTAACCCCATAAAATGGAATGATATTTTGATGACCGCAAACTTTTTGTAAAAGCTGAAGCTTTTGAATATTAAACAATAATTAAGATTGTAACTTTGAGTCGGGTGTTAAAACCCTAAAGTCTAGATTAGATGTTAGCTATAGTTTAGGGTTTGTGCCTCTAATCTAAGTTTAAGGTTTTGACGCCATTTCTATAAATTATATGTTTTACATCAATTGGCTTTGTGCATTAAAATAATTCAATACCTCTTTAGTAAACTTTTCAACAACCTTTTTATCCATTCTCAGATCAACTTTGAGACATTTAAGAGCAACTAATAATCCATTATCTTTTCTCTCTGACTTATAAACTTCACAAAATCCCCCTTCACTAATCAAATCATTGCCATTAAATAAACTATAATCGAGGTAATTAATTTTATACTCTGAAATAGCCTTATCAAATAATTTTTTTGGTGAATTTTCCATGATTCTTCGATGATCCGTTGGTTCTAAAATGAGTTGATCCAAAGTGTCAAGAACTGCTTTCATTTTTGGTCGTTTGGTAGGATCGCTATCCCAGCAACGTGTATAAAGCTCAAAATATTGCAATGGTGTACCTTCAACAGGCAATTCTCTGGCCCCTTGGAAAATATGAACAACAATTGCATCTCTAGATCTAAATGATTTAAAGGGTTCTCTGCAACTTGAAATCTCCCAAAGTATGACTCCATAGCTGTAGACATCAGATTTTGAAGAACGTATATATGCAATATTTTTGAAGCATTGAGGGTCAATATAAGCGGCTAATCCATGAATAGACGAGTTTGAAGATAAAGATCCCTCAACCATCTGTTCTGATAATCCAAAGCCTGCAATCATCATATTTCCTTTATCTACCAAAATGCTTTTGGAGTTCTATAAAATTTTTAATAAATACAGAAATAAATGAATTGCCTAGATGAATACACTTAATCAAAATAATTTTCCGACCAGGTCTTTATGAACAATATTGTTATCATGTAAGAAATTAAGTCCTTCAGCTATCTCTTTGGCTATACGTAGTTTATCTGTCCATTGTAGCTTTGAAATTTTTTTTCCTAAATATTCGCTTAAATTTCCACCTTCGGCAAATTGTAAAATTAGATTATAATATCCATCAGGAAATTCTGTTAATTATAATGTAATTTTATATTAAGATTTCTAATCATTCTTGAATTTACTGTTTCCGATAATATACGGTCTTATCTATAATCACATCATAATATATAATCCCATTAATTTGCAATAATTGTCGCGAATCATAATGAAATCGGATTAAAATAATGAAATAAGAGTTTCTATTTAACCCTCTAAAACCCACTTATACTTGTTTATTATAAGCTTTACCCTTTAACCCTAACCCCTAACCCTAAAAAATGCACATTAAAAATTTTTATTTTTCGGTGGCTTGTCTATTTTTTATCATTGTACAATATTTCATTTTAATCCGTCACAATAATTAATTAATGAATTATAAAAAATGCTTATTTATAAGCATATCATAATAAAAATCTTTATATAAACACATAGTTAATGTATATAAAGTGGGTGAGGTGATTATAGAGAAAGACTGTTTATAAATATATAAACCTTTTGTAACTCCATAGAATTCAACAATATTCGGATGTTTACGGAGATTTTGCAGATGTTGAAGCTTTAAATATAAATAAATAAATATTTAGCACATATAATATTATGGGTATCATTCAAAAAAATGCATAAAATAATACTTCTTTAGCAAATCCCTGGATAATGTTTTCATCTAAATTTGTAGAAACCTTAAGGCTTTTAAGAACAATAATTGAATTGCGAACATTCCATTTAGATTTATATATTGGTCCAAATCTACTTTCTCCAATTTTCTCAAAATTATTAAACTGACTATAATCATAGCAATTAATAAGTTGTTCAGCAATAGCTTCCTCAAGCAGTCCCCTTGAAGGAAACAATATGGCATCATCATGGCTCGTTGTCTCATAATCAAAATTAAATTCTCTTAATAAATAAAGAACATCATTCATTTTTGGACGTTTTAAAGGATCGTCATCCCAGCATTGGGCATAAAGTTTAACATATTGAGACGGTGTACCTTCTACAGGAGTTTCTCTCCCACCTTTAAATATATGAATAGCAATTGCTTCTCTAGATCTAAACGATGTAAATGGTTTACATCCACTTGAAATTTCCCAAAGGATAACCCCGTAGCTATAGACATCAGATTTTAGGGAACGTTTATAGTCAACATTCCTAAAGCATTGAGGATCAATATATGGTACCATTCCTTGAACTGCTGAGTTAGAAAACGATGTATCGGTTGTTTCTTTTGATAAACCAAAATCTGTAATCATCATTCTTCCTTCGTGTACCAAAATGTTCCTCGGATGCTATAAAATAGCATTTATCACCGATAAAATGTTTAAATATCTATAAATAGAAAATTTGAAATGTACTTACAAGATCCCGATGAACAATATGATTACTATGTAAAAACATAAGACCTTGAGCAATTTCTGTGGCAATTCGTAATTTATCAGTCCATTGCAATTTCGAAAATTCTGAATTTAAATAATCACGTAAATTTCCACTTTCAGCGAATTGTAAAATCATATTAAAACGCCCAGTAGCTAGATCTAATTACAGTAATTTTAAATTTAGATGAATTATTAGAAATTTGACAAAGAAATAGTAGATTAATAGAAATAACACCTTTAGTCACACCATAAAATTGGATGATATTTGGATGAAAACTTGCTTTTTGTAAAATTTGAAGCTTCATATTACACAGTATGTTGAGGATTTAGTAATAAAAAAAATAATGATTTTTGATAATCAATCATTAATTATACCTCATTTATAAATCCATCATCTTTTCTATCTGAATTTATCATTTTAAGGGCAACATTAAATCCGTAATTTTTCCATTCAGCCTTGTAAACTGAACCAAATCCTCCCTCACCAATTAACCGAAAATATTTAAATTCATTAAAATCAAAACAATTTATGCGATCTTCTTTAATAGCCTTCTCAAGCCATGCGTTCGAACAATGCATAGTTACGAAAAAAAGAAACTTGAATATGCTTATGACTATTTCCGAATTTAATGCATCGGTATGTAGCATAAAACGTGATTCAAAATGCCAAAGTAAACATTGTGCATAATACTGTGATACAATTATAATCGTTACACAATATCGATATTGAATTACCGGTACTTTTTTAATCCTGCAGATCATTCGGCTCTAGATAATAAAACTTATCTACCAGAGCCGAATGATCTGCATACTTGACCAGAATTAGATTATTTTGAAAGCTTTGTATCCAATTTTTCGGTTACAAATATTAGTAGATTTGATTAAATATATAAATTAAAAAATTGATTATAAATATTTTAATTAGTTTCAACAGTAGTTTTACCAGCATTCACCAATTTCATCTGCAACTCTAGTTAAGAAACTGTACGTTAAACAAAATTTCGTGATGTGCATAAAAAAATTTGTATATCAATAATCTACAATCACTTAATTTTCTTATGATCGAATAAATTAATGAGTATAGATTGAAGTTCAATCAAGATAAACTTATCAAAATGAAGTTCAAAATGAATAATAGGAATAGTTTTTTTGTTTTTGTCGAATAGTAAATAGAAACACTTCTGGCAATATCGATTTATGCGAAATTTCTACCAAAGAGCATTTGCCAATCTTTCAATAAATCACAGTGTGTCCAGTTGTTTTATTTAGATAGCAAAAATAATAAGCTAAAATAATAATTAAAAAAAGAATTGCACTCTACTCTTTTTAGTAACGCTAAGCATCTTAATAAATCACATGACTTAACGGACCCACGGGTCCGTATTTTTTGATTGGATTAATATAAGAAACATTTATAAAAACTATATAACTTAGCACAGAACAATACCGATAGATATCTAAATAAGTAAAATTCAATTTAATTTATTAATTCACTTTTTTAAGTTTTAGTTGAAATTTATTTAATTGCATTGTTTGCTAACGAATAAATATTAAATTGAGAAAATTCCTGGTGCTGATTACAAATCTGAAATTTATATTTTACATTCTTGTCAGAGCAAGGAGCCCGCGATTTGTATTATCATTTTCTTAAGTTTAAATGGATAATTGTTGTCAAATTTTTCACAATTAAATAAAATTAAATTACTGAACATTTAATTTGAAAAATAGCCCTTCTGGGTAGAGTGTTTAATTTATTTATTCGTCATATTGGGGTTTCAGTAAAACCCAAAACACAGTAAGTACAATAAAAATCGTTATCATTATTGAAAAAAGAAAACACAATTAATAAATTGACTATACAATAAGAATCAATAAATTATTCCAGGGTAAAATTAAAAACTAATATAAATTCGAGTGTACAGTCTGAGGAAAAAATTTTAGCTAATTATTGTATAACTTTGATAATAATTATTTTATTTAATTGCTTTAACATGTGTACTTCCAAAAATAAGTTGCCAATAAAGTGCAATTACATTCAAATAAAAAAAAATTAGAACTCAATCAAGTAATCAAAAAATGAAAGGAAATTATTTTAGCATTCAAATTCAATTTAATTGTATAAGTTTAAAGAAAATTCCAGCTACGTTATGACTTTAACATTGTAAAATGTCATAAAAAAATTTCGAGTAGTATGCTTCGAGAGTTTTGTTTAAATTTTTTTTATTTTTTTATGTTTCTCTTTATAAAGCTCAGCAGCTTTTGAATCGTCTCTTTCAACACCGATTCCATCTTGGTAGCATATTATAAGCATATCTCTGGCTTTTTTACTGAATTCTGAATTGCTTTGAAAAACTTCATTAAAGTATTGAAAAGCCTGAATAGTTTTATCTTTTATATCCTTTCCAAAAAATAAATTTTCTTTTATATATATCATTGCTAACAATAATTTAGCTTCATTTTTTATTTGATTATTTTTACTAATAGAACAACTAGTTAAACAACAAACTGCGCCTTTATAATCTTCAGCTGTGTACTTTTCTCTTCCAAGTTTAAGGAGCTTGTAATGTTCATCAGCATTTTTATTGGACATTTTAAATTATTTTAATTTAAGTATATAAGAAAGTTCAAAGTTAGAAGAAATCCTTTACCTTTATATACTACTAAAAAAAAAAATTTAATGCCAATATTAAAAAAATTAATCTTAAAAGCATTGTTATACAATTAACTTCTCCATATACCAAATAATGCCATATTTAAGCAATATAAAATGAGATTTTTGAGACCCAAAACAGGAAGTGGATATATCAAAATGAAAATCAAGATATTAAAATTAAAGAAAAGTTTTTGTTACAAAAATGAATTATTTGCAGAATTGTCTAGATAATATAAATTGATATAAGAATTTATTGATGTAACAAGAGTAAAGAATATTGCAAAGGGTATAGTTGTTAGACGAAACCATGTGATGATAATCATCATCGTATCTTGATACTTGCTCTGTAAGGTATCATAATTCAGCGAACTCATGGTGTTGAACTTCATCTGTGTTATTTATAACATCTAAATAATAGTAGAAGATAAATAATAAGATATTAGATTAATAATTATAATAGAAACCCGAAGGTGAAAGGAGAAGTACGAGATCTTGTATAGCAAGCATATAGTAGATATTGATTGAAGGAATCTCGAATATTTAGTTACATAAAGAGTATATAATCAGGGTGTTCTGTAACAGAGACAGAATCTGAAATAAGAGTTGGATTCATTTTTGTTAAGTTAGAAATTTATGTTACGCTATTCTTGTTGGAATTAGATTTTTGATAGATTTTTATCACGGTTTATTTTTATAAATAATATTTATATTGATCCAATTAAGAAAAGTCGGAATTTCAAATGAATTTTTAATTTATAGATATTTTATTGTAATTGAAAGTTAAAAACTTAAAGCCAGCTTTTCAGAATTTTAATTTTAATTAAAATACTCA